CATTGTTTTATCACGTTTTGTTTTTGGAAACAAATTCCGCAACTCTTTCAAATCAAAAGGATTTACTTTGAAATTATTTTAAAAGCATAAATGAAAATCGGTCTTTTTTGGCCGAGATTTTGGGGATGTCAGATTTTGTTTTAGGAACAAATTCCGCAACATCTTTTGGAAGATTACTCTGATTTAATTTTAAAAGCATAAACTAAATCGGCCTTTTCTGGCCGAGAAATTGGGGGATGTCACACATGCATTATATATGTACTGTTGCATAGGGTATTTTAGTGGAATTCGCTAAGCTTTGGCTTACAATTGTTGAATTTAATGTTTTCAGGTACATTAAATGATCGAGGCAAAACAAAAGCTTGATCATACATATATTTTTGTGATTTATTTTTTGAGAGTGGATTTGATAGTTTAATTTCATGGATTTAATTTGTTTGTGACATCCCGGAATTCAAGTCAAAGACTATCGACGGTCAATTCATAGTAAATATCTTTGTAATTTGACTCATCAAGTTTTAGTGCATCTAATGTAAAATAAATGAGTTCATTTCAACAACTATAAAATACCAGATTGTATTTTACTTCCAAATGTGTAAACTGGAAAATGAATCAAACAACTCAAACTCCAACCCAAGTTAATGCGTCTGAAAAAATAGAAATTTCATATTAAGTAATTGTGGGCAAAACAAACACTCTAGTCCTATAGTATATGTTCCCTTATTTTCGAAAGTATAAAGAACGTCCAAAAGAGAGTTCGTATGCACACCTCAGAAATTAAATATGTATAATATTGATTTTCTTAAAACCGTAAAAACCGTTTCTATCCGTTGAGGGACTTGTACACCTCAGATGGAAATTTCGAATGTATTTTTAGATTCAGGTCATAGTCTAATATTCGTAATTAAAATAAACAAGTGAGTATATAATGTAAAATTTTCTAACGGAATATATGTTTCTTATATTTTTCTAATGGAAATATGAATATTTTTGTTTAAGAGTTGGTGTTATGGAATTAATATGATAATGAATTGGAGGTTAAATAAGATGGTAGTTAAAATAAAATAACCTTTAATATAAAGGAAGGCTTAATATAAAGGAAGGTTTAATTTAACGAATTAAATATTATAATTATAAAATGAATATTATATTATGAGAGGAAGAGATATAATACAAGTAATTTTCAAATTTAAAAGATGTGATATGGTAGTTATGACATGTTTTGGGCAATGGTCATATAATAGTAGAAGTCCATGACTTACCCCTAAAGTATATTATTACATTCCATCGGAATAGTTATATATATGGTTTGATTTTTCTACTTCCTACATTCATTTAACTTTTTAGAATGTTTTTTTTTTTAATCCTTCTATTTACATAAATATCTTTAAATAACTTTATGTTTTATAAAATCTTAAATATTAATAAAAGAGAAACTTTATGATATCATCTTAAATAAACTGGACCATTTATTATATTTCAATCTTATTTTTTCCACCCTTAGATCAAATTGCTGATATCGTCTTCCCCATATGGAATGTATTTAATTCCAATAAATGTTTTCCAATCATCAATCAATAACTTACATTCGTTGAAATGGAATGTATTTAATTCCAATAAAAGCTTTCCATATTTTACATCTTGAATTTTCAGTTATGAAGATTTTAATATGATCAATTTTAAAAATATATTACTAACAAATCATTTCAATCAAGGCCTTAATATAAACTATTAATATAAATCCGTTTATATTAGTAAACCAGTAAAATATAAAATCTTTTTTTATTAGGAAATCATTAATACCGAAAAATCATATTCAAATTATCACATACATATACGATTTATCATTGAATCCGCAACTCACATTTATTTTCAATCGTTTCTTTTCTTCAAACCTTCTCCTACAACATCGTTAATATTGCTTATAACTTCCATCATCATTCTCTGCTATCAACATTCCCTCGTGTGCGCTAGAAGGTCAGTACATTCTTTCGCTTTTTATATTTTTTTCGATCATTTTTTGTTCCTATATCAAATGTATGTATTCATATATTTCGATTTTCTTTGTCACAAATTACATAAAATCAGTTAACTAATTTTCTGAAACTTTTCAAATAAACATGAAAAGGTATTAGATACCTTTAACAAAACAAAAATTAATTATCTTGGGAACTAACATTAATTACGAAAATGTTACTTTTATATATTAGAGATGATTATGATTTTTTTTTTAATTTTTATATCATAAGAATCCGGTTAATTTTGACATGATTTTAAAATATCATTGAAATTATTATGTTTTTGTATATCATATCAGCCTACCTTTTTATCTTCGTATAGTAACAATAAAATTTATTAATTTGCACAAAAAATATAGATATTTCAAATTTTGTAATATTATTATATCTTACAAAATACAACTCCTTACAAAATAAATTTTCTCCAGTAATTTCATCTATAATTTCAACAAATTTAAATTTGTATTTTCTTTATATAATTTTTTTTAGTGATCGTGATTTTTTTTTCTCCAAAAGTATATCAAACATTTACGTTTTACATAATGTTGTCCTATTATAATTATTATTTTCCAAAAGTATATCCGTTTAATGAGGAATTTGATATAATAAAGGAAGTGAATCTTAATTAAAATGAGATATATATTCCATAATTATTACATGAGTTTATTAAAAAAATTAATATCAAGGTGTAAACATTAAGCATTTTTAAAGTGAAATTTCAGAATACATACAAACGATGATGTTGTACGATGAAATATAAAATTGAATAGACTGAAAAAAAAAACACTATTAAAGCAGTCAATCTTGAAAATAATATAGTTATGAAAAATTATAAAGTAAGATTAAAATTATAAGATATTAGGAGATTTGTAAAAAGTACATTTAGTAAAAGCATTACGGTTATTAGAAAAAATTAGACCGTTAAGATTAGTGAAAATACAATATATAAACTAAATTATCACAATAGTAATGAAATTTTATTATTTGATATTTCATATAATTGACAGATATATCAAATTAAATTGATGATATACTAAAATTATTCAAAGTTGCGCCAAAACTAATGCAAAGTTTTTGCGAACACTAAATAAATAAGAACAAACATAAAAGCTAACATTTATATTTATAATCAATTTAAAATAAACAAATCATGATTTAGAAAAAAAATCTCCATTGATGATATACTAAAATTAAATCTATATAACATTTAACATTTTATAAATTATATTACATAATTTTATTTGAATAAATGAAATAGTTGTTAATATTTAATGCAATAGAAAAAACGGTATATTGATTGTCAATATATGTTTAAATTAGGTAACATTATTATGCAAGGAACGTCTAATTAAAATGCTTATAAATATATAAATATCATAACTATATAAGACGAGTAAAGTCGTTCAACTAATAAAACAAAAAATGATGTCTACAAAGAGATCTTTCAATGATTTTATATATTTATCGTTTTCAATGTATTTTCTACACATTTTAATAATACCAATAACCATATATATTTTTTATAATCATTATACAATATCTATAAACGATTATATGTTTTTTATGCGTTTCCCGCGTTTAACGCGGGCTATAATCTAGTTTTATTTTATACGATCATCAAAGATATTTGACAAAAAGTAAAAGTTTAAAAAAAATATATAACAGAGTACTATACCATCTTTAACAAATAAAAAAAAATATATTAAATTAACCGAATATATGATTTTTTTAGCTAATATGTATTATCACATATTTGAAATTTTTTATCACGTGATTTTAATTTTTAATCTATATTGTTAATATAGATGTTAATTCTTAAATTATTATTTAGTTTTTTACTATAAAACTCTTCTTTTCATATTAAATATATGTTATTATGTTTTGAAATTGTAATATAAATGTTGTTATTTAATTGGTTTATGGATCAATTTTTTTATATAATATTGGTAAAAGTGACTAATGTTTTTTATATAATATATTTAAATGATTGTCAATGAATCTACTGATTAGTAAACTAACTGTATTATTTGTTATTTCTTATCTTATTTATAATTTAGTTTTTTTTAATCATAAACATGATTTAAAGAATATAATTCATGATAAGAATCTAGTTTCATCCGACTGTGATTGATAAACCTCAAATGAGCAATTGGATGTTGGCATCGGTATCACTGATGAACTCAAAATGAGTTTATGTCCATATAAAAGACAACGCTATGATTGATGAACCTTAAATCAGTTCATGTTGACACACATGACAAATCGTTGACACTTTTATGTTTTTCTTTGGTTTTTCTAATATATAATCAATCTTCGTCGATTATATTATGTTCCTGAAGTTTAAAGCTTGGTTAAGCGTGAGTTGAGTTTCGATATTTGAATCTTGTATTTAAGTAAAACTCAAGTTTGGCATTGTATTGACTCAAATTGATTTAATTACATCCTTATTCGAGTCGAGTTCATGTTTGACATTTTAAATTGTTGTAATTTTTATTTTTAATCAATAACAAAAGTGTAATTTTATTCTTAACAAACAACATTAATATACTTTTATTTCTAAACTAATACAATAAAATATACTTATTTTTAACCAACACAACAACACACTTTTATTTTTAGCCCTAAAAAACATGTTTATATTTTAAACCAAAATATAAATTTATCTTTATTTTAATCAAAAACAAAAATGTATTATTCATTTTATACAATGAAATATACTTATTTTTAACAAACATAACAACCCATTTTTATTTCTAGCCCTAAAAAAAGTGTTTATATTTAAACCAAATTATAAATTTATTTTTATTTTTAACCAAAAACAAGAACGTATTATTCATTTTTATTCAAAATTATTCGTTGAAAAGAACTATTTGGACATATTTGGACGGGTTTGATGTGGACCCGTTGAGGTGGATCCATGGGTACCGTCGTCTTCTTAAAGCCAGTTCCTTCTAAGCGGATCACACCGTTTCATTTTGGACTCTCCTGTATCCGCCAAGAAACATTTACCCTCTGCATTCATCTACCGGTTCTGTATTAACCATAATACTTCATCCATATTTTTATCTATTTCATTCATCTCCGTCTTCCTGCATCAACAATTGGATGTCGAAACCCTAATCTTCATTCGTCAACAATTTACAGCGTCCATTCCTATAAAGGTTGGTTCGATTATCTCATTTTTTTGTTTGTATGTTTCTTTGTACTTTTGGTTTCTGTTTGCTATCTGATTACGTTTTGTTTCTTTTTATTCTCTTTCCCTCTTATGAAGCCTGCATCCAATCGCCCCCTACAAACCCTAATGTGAAAGTCATGAAGCAAGTTAAACCCCATAACCATTTCCATTATGTAACGCGTTCTGGTATCCGATCCATAAATCTTTACAGGAATCGAAAGAAATGGGTAACTCCTATTGTCGCCGCTCTCCATCATCCTCTTTGTTCTCATCTCAAAGAAGGTAACAAAAAACTAAGGCTTTCTTCGGTGTTTCAATATAGATTGTAATCTCATCATTCTTGGTTTTATCTGTTTTGAATAAAAATATGGTATCGGTCTAATTTCTCCCTCTAATTGGGTTCTAATTTTGGTAAGCGGGTGCCATGGAAGAACTCACCATTTTTGTTAAATTTGAGGCATGTGAATGAAGAATTGGAGATGGTTTCCACATGTTTTACTTTATTTTGGTGCTTCGATTGGATCGATTTTATATGTAAGAATTTGTTTATCATGATGGAATGTCATAAAACTTCAACTGTAAATGCCTCATGAGCATATTATTATTTGTTGCAAATGTTTCTTGAACAAATTTCCACTTCATTTTATAAATGGTAATTGTTTATTAATGCAAAGGTCTATCAATTTATTGTTATTTATTTCATGCATTATGTGAGTTTCGACTATAATGGTTTCTAGATATTTTTTTGTTATTTTTTTTGTTTGTTTGTTTTTTTTTGTGACTTTTGCCATGGTAGGAGAAATTTTATAGTCTTATGCTTTAATGACATGCAGGTTAGGTTGTTATGTGAAAATGCCACAGAGACTTTGATGGTGAAAAGCAATGTACGGGTATGCTTTTTTATGGTTTAATATACAACTAAACTTGGAGAAAAACTATGTTTTAATTCATCTTTTTGTAATTACGTAATAAATTTACAAACTTTCTGCAATTTCCTTCAGCTTAAAAAGTCAGGTGACAATCTATGGTGATATTTATGACAGCTACCATGATCTTGCAGGGGTATTTTGAATTGGAGGGAAGGGTATTAATTAAGAATTCTTAGTAAAATTCTCCAGATAAAAAATGATACATAGAAATTTGTTTTGTTGCAGACTTTGAGGCTATTTGGTAGCCTCTTAATTGAAAAATTAAGAGGCAATGTCTGAACTTTTAAGATTTAGGCTATGTTTGGCGGACTAGCTGAAAAGCTAGCTGTTAGCTGAAAAGCTAGTTGTTAAATAAAAAGCTAGTTGATAGCTGAAAAGCTAGCTGATAAAAAATAACGTTTGGTAAAACTAGTTGAAAAGCTAGCTGAAATATATAAAATTACATAAAATGACATGTAAGAATATGTGTTTCTATAATTAATTAAGGGGTGTATTTGGAAATTTTTAAAAAAGCTCCTAAAAAGCTAGTCTAAGTAGCTTTTCAAAAAGCTAGCTTATAAGCTACTTTTTGGCTTACCAAACACAACAACATAAAAAAGCTCGAAAAATAAGCTAACTTATCGGCTAGCTGTGGTGCGCCAAACACAGCCTTAGAGCGTTTGTTTGGGTATGAAAAAAAGCATCTTAATTTTCAAAAAGCCTCTTAAAGTTTCAGATATAATATTACATCTGAATTAAAAAAAGGACGTGCCTTGCCCTTGCCTTTGCCCTAATAATTTTTCATCCGTTTCTTTTTTCCTTTCTACTCCATCGACCCCCCCCCCCTTTTCTCCTACCTCTCGATCTGCAGTAGAAGATTATGATCTTCAAAACTCGTCTTGTGTTCTCCCATCCGCAATTGATGAAGCCGCCGCCGGCTTCAATGACTCCGTCGTCTTCGACGCTTTCGCCATCTTCGACGCCGCCACCATCGACTCCAATTTTTCCAGGTAAGGTTTTCTTTTATTTTGTCCCTCAAAACGAAATCTCACCACATACATTGATTTTTTCTTCTTCTTTTTTGCTCTAAATATGGTTACCACATACATTGCATTTTTTTTTTCAATGAAAAGCAATTTTCAGCGGATATTTCAATTTCTTCTTCTTATTTACCCTGCATTCAATTATTAGTGGTGCTGATGATATTTGTTTATTTACGATGATGCACACTGTCAGTCTATACAAATGGGTGTTTGAGTTTACAAGAAGTAGAGTCGTGTTCATGTACACAACTAAGTCATTCAAGGTTCTAGAGGATTGTTCAACTGTTTTGGTGCTGCAAGTATCTGGAGGTATATGAAGATGGTTGCTCAATGGAACGAAATTTCTGTAGATATGAGCATGAATTCCAACCAAGACAACAGTTGGACCTCTTTTTTGAGAAAACAAATGGAACTAGAGATGGTTTGTTCAATCTAATACCAAGAAAAATAAACAAAATATTTATTGTTGAATTCTTGATTAGTTTGAGGGTTCTGGTGGTGGAATTTTTGTTTTTGCTTGTGATTCGTTTATATTATATGTATTATTTTGTTGTAAATACGACAAATTTTTCTTTGTTATTTGATGTTCTTGAAGGAAATTGTTAACAAAGGTAAAAGCTTCATTTTGATTTGAAGTTGTGTTATAATTTTAATCTATGTTTAATTTAGATTTTTTATGGTGTTTATATATTTGTTTTATAATTACTTAAGAAGTTGATTCGTTTATTTTATAAACATAAACTTTAAATTCAGCAAAAATAATATAAAAGGGTAAAATGGTTATTTTGATAATTCAACATAGCAATTCAGATGTTTCAATCAAACAACATGATAAAAATTCAGATTCTTTTAGAAATTCAGACCTCTTAAATATTCAGATCCTACCAAACAACTTCTTTTTCGGGGAAGTTCAATTAGATATAGACAATTTTCAAATTTTGCTTTTTTTTACATATAATGGCAGTGTACTTATATTTTGCATATTAATCAAAACATTGCACTTTTAAAATCCATACAATTACCCTCCACTGGTCGTTCTTTTTATTCTGGTAAGAAATTTGTAGGATTCTAATCCTTCCATGTAACCCATTAGTGAACGATGCCTTTTGCCCAAATGTCGACTCAATCCTTCCTGATCGTCGTATCCATTCAATCGGAAATGGAAATACCAACTACCTATCCTCTCGAAGTAGAAGCCTACTCTGACGAACATAATTTACCATAAGGCCGATTCAATCCTTCCCATCCTCCCTTTCTCCTTCAATGCTTCACATTTGCACTTCGAAAACCGATTATCCATCTTCTCCAACCGAACATTTGGATTCTTCCCCAACAAGCACCCCGAACAAATCACCCGTAAAAAAACCCTAATTTTAGGAATTTTAAGTTGTCAAATCGACTACAATTGACCGCTTTATGCTTCAGTGGCTGCTGGATTGATGCGTATTAGTGACAAAAAAAAAATACATTGAAGCATACTGGGACAATGTTAAAAAGAGCCTACTGATCATTTCCCTGATAGCTATTTCAGCAGTGGCATAAACATGAGGCTTGTCTCCGAATTTACTCTTATACCCTTCAGTATCAAACAAGCTTACGGAGACTAAAACTAACTGTGGACTAACTCCTTCAATTGAAAAAAGGTTAATAAAAGATACAAAGAAGTACATGATTGTTCACAAATGTTGGCACAACCTAAGACTATAGTTGAAGCACGAAAGTACATGATGTAATTAATAAGGGGAAAAGAATGTAAGGTACTATAATAAACAAATGAATGAAATTACATTGCTATTTCGTCGTAAAATTATAAAATATATCGCACCTTCGTTAAGATGGAAATTAGAAGCATGTCAATTTAGTTAGATAATTTTTTTTTAAACCTAGATCCTTATCATTATTTTGTAGATCCAAGCACTGAAAATATTGGGATAACGCATTGGGATTAAAGAGTCCTTCCACTGGTCCTTTCCAATAAGTAGATTTCCTTAAAAGCTTGAGTGTATCAACCTGGGATCACAAGGATCCTCCATTTCTTGCAGTCAACCCAAATACCCAATAATCATTTATTAAAGACTCGACTGAAAGAAAGTATAAAATCCCTTAAATAAAAATAGATCAAAAAATTTAATGCCTTTGAATCTAGATGCATAAAACTATCAAAGTAAGACAAAACTTTACTTATTCTAGCATTATAAATTTAAACTCAATTTGTCACTTACACACTAATATTAACCAACATATGATTAATTGTTGTGTATTTTTCTTAAAAGGAATTCGCCACTTCACCAGAAAGAACTACAACTTAAAGATAAAAGAACAACATCAACTCAACCTATTGAACATTGGACTGTACGTTTTAGTGGCAAAAAATCAAGAATTTTCTAAACAAGAGTGAACTTGAATTTAGTACCATGTAAAACACTACAAGAGTGAACAAGCGAATAATTAGTTTATACTTGCATACAAGTATAATAAAGTTAATTTTTTTTAATCATATTTTTTTGTTAATTTATCATGATCAACTCTTTTTATTAAACCAGACCTTGAACTTGCTTTGCAAGTAATGTCGACCAACAAGCCAAAATGTGACATATATAGCAATGGGTTTACTGATAATTCCCACCCTTCTCTTTATCATGAATTAAGGTGTCAAGATGAGTTTTTTTTCATTGTTAGGGTTAAAATACCTTTAATATTGCCCCCGATAACTTTTTTATGTATTTTATTTTGTAATGTAGGTGTAGGTTAGACCTAATGTTTGATATTCTTTTGTTTGTTTTTTTAAAGGGACATACAGGAACAACACATGCGTATTTCATAACAAAAATTCATATGGTGTCAAAAAAAAGTTAAATTACAATAATACCCTATGTTATAATGTTTTTAACACTTGAGTCAGTACGATTACATTCTTGTTATTCGATATCTATTAAGATTGTATTCGGTAGTTGATGTGTTTCTTTTTTATTAAATGATAGGTAAAGAAATTATTCACATGAACTATCAGAATGAATAATAATTTTATGTTATCCTAGGATGGTGAACTCCAACACTTGCAAGCAACTGTGGAAAATGTAAGTTTTCTGATTTGGTTTCTTTTCTATTAGTTTTACGTACGGATAGTTTTGTTGTAGTCAACATGTTTGGGCTTATTCTTTGTGTCTGTTATTTAAGACTTTATTGTAAGTTGTATTTAAAATCGACTACATACCCTTTAACTTCAGACTTCTTGATAATTGAGGGTGTTTGTGATTATCGCTATGTTGCATATTTTTGTTGCAGACGGAGTCACTAAAGCTCATGCATTATACATTGAAAATCTACTCATTTATAGTATTATACTTTCACTTTTTTGGTTATTAGCACAATATACATTAGATAACGGTAAAAAAAATACCCAAACTATCCTCCATGGGTAAGCACGGGCCTCAAACTTTTCTAGAATATATATATATATATATATATATATATATATATATATATATATAAAACCCAAACTTATGTAACAAACTCATGACAAATGAAAATAGATTACATTTATTGGAAAATACACAAATACGTACCCAATGAAATCAATACGTCAATACACCCAAATTACATTCTTATTGACTAACAAATTGCTCGAAAGTTAAAACCAAAATACATCTATTAAATTGACAATCAAATTTAAAGTATTACTTCCACAATTGAACTTAACCAAGTTAACACATAAACAAGTGGAGATGATTTTTTCTATAATTCAATGGAATTACACAATACTAAAGAATAAAATCATGAAGTTTCTTCCACTCTTCAACTTGCACTTAACCACATGTAAAGGAAAAGCCACATATACCTTCGTCTTTTCTTCTTCTCCTGTTGATAAAGACTCAGTAACAGAACATGAACACATCCATTCTCTTCTTCATTTCATGTCAATAAACCAGCAACCATACACTCAACACATCCATAAAAACTACGTGTACAATATGTTTATACAAGTATTTTTTTATACCCTTCTAATCTTCCATTCAATCTCTTTTTGTACAAAGAAATCACAGAAAAATTACTTTAGATTTAAGCCAATTAGTTCAATAACAGCAGTCCATTTTCTTGTTTCCATTCATGTCAAGCAAATCTAGCAAACAAAACACCCCTTTAATTGATTTTTTTCTGCCTGTTTCATCATCCTTCGTGTTGGCTGCTAAATCTCAAAGAAGAGGGAGCAAGGAGATTACCGGAGACCTTTTCTCTTGCTTACCGACGTGCTTCACTGCCAAACCCTACCATCCGCGGTGCTGTTGCTGATCGTTTTCCTCATCGCACCCCACACCTTCTCCGGTAGAGCAAAACTCACCGAAGTCCCCACCTGCGACGTGTTGCTACCGATCGGACTCCCTTCGGCCCTCCTATTTCCTTCGCACCTCGCAGCCGGACGAGAGCGAAAACAAGCTCACTGCTTCGCGCCCTTCATTTCTTCGGTCTCGTCAACCCCGGAGATGCCTCCCTCTTCGTGATCAATCGACCTAGACGTCCGGAGTAGCGGCCTACAAGCCTTCGTGATTTCTCGCCATATCAATATCGTTCCTTCGTGTTCTTCGTATTTTTCCTCACCGCTTCGTTCGTTCTTTTCCTTTGCCTGATCAACGAATGGAAACGGGCACAAAAAGCCCTAAATCATATTGATTTTATATAATGAACACATTAACCCCCTCTGCTGAAACCTTTATTCAAAATGAGTCCTTTCCCCAAAACTTTGGTGTATTTTTAACAAAACAGCCCCTCCCATAGAGACTTCTTAATAATATCAGTCCAAGACTCAAACATTAATTCAATCTAAACTATTTCACTCCTTCCCTTTGTTTATTTTAACCAAATTAATCGTATTTTGGTTAATTAAATTACGAAACAACCTCCAATAGTTTAAATTTGTTATGAAACGGCCCCGAAAGTACTTCGAAGTTCAAGAATCGTGCCTTTGCAGTTTCTGACGTCAAACTTCTCAAATAAATCGATTCCGTACAAATCAAACTCATGCTTCAAGAGTGAGTGCTTAAGGACCCTTTTTAATATTTCCAATTATTCCGGAAGGGAATAGATGTGCCTATATAAACTTCGTTTTTACAAACAAGTTATCCTTTTATGCGAAAATACAATAATCATAGTTTATAAAAAATATTATTTAACAATGTAACATATCGTTACAAATAAACTAGTATAAACATTCCGTATACGTATTATAGTTATTTTATCGTGAAATAACTAGTCCACACAACAAATGATATACGATACAAAAATATATGATTTTTTATGTGACATTGTATATCATAACAAG